TTTGACCGGCAATGTTAATACTTGCAATATCACACTATGAGGGCCAAAAAAAAATATGAGACATAATTTTTTTAATATAGTATATATTGAATATTTTATTTCGATAAAATAATTTTATTTATTTATTATATAAAATTATCAAATTAAAATCCATTTTGTATTATTTTGATATTTAATTTTGATTTTTTATATATTTAATAACTAATATTATATTTAAATTAAATTTAATAAATTCAAAATTTTATGATAAATTGTGAGTTTTGAATGTAGTAATAATTACTATATATATAATAAAAACTCAAAACCTAAAATCAAAACTATATTAGGCAGCTTTAATTAACATAAAGTCAATGGAATGAGTAAACTAAAAGGGTTAAAAGGAAGGAACCAACTAAAATTTGAAATTTAAAAGTTAGATAGAGTCCTTTAACAATTTCCTTAAGGTTAAGTTTGTTTAATTTACCCGTGTGTGGTTTCTTTCATGATTTGTCCTGGTATGATGTTACGCCTACTACTTAAAATCTTGCTTTAATGGCTGTGATTTTCCAGCTTTCTTCTGCATCTATGTATTTCTGCAACTGTTTTCTTTAATTAAAATTTTCAAATAATTGAATCATGATTTAAAATTGTACGGTGATTTATTTATCAAGAATATAAATTGTCTCATTAAGAAAATTTAAACAATTTCAGAAGTGTAAAAAAGCCTAAATTTACTGAAAGTTCTATTTGTTTAATACCCAAAACTGTTTCAATAAGTCAAGCACTTGAGTTTGTAGGTAACCTCAATTTACTGTTAGGCTAAGTTCTATTTGTGGTATTTCTCATTGTTCTGCTAGCTTCATTTCGTTTTATAACGTCCCAGTTTCTAGCTTTTTCTTTCTCATTTTGCTCTGTGCACTCACCACTCCTGTTACTCTGGGCCTGCACTAAATAATCAAGACTCAGTTAAAGTATAATGGAAAATGGGAAAGTAGTTAATCCTTTTTTCTTTTTTTTTCTAGTCTTCTTAATTCTTTCATTTTTTTGAAAGCTTCTTGAATGTTTTATTGATTTCATCACAGCTTCTCCTTTGATGTTTTTGAAGGATCATCACAGAAATGGGAAAAACTCACCATGTCACTGAGTGGTATGGCATTGGCTGCCATAACCAGTTCATCACTTGGTTGTATATTTACTCTTAGACACTCAGGCACTTGTCGTGGTGTTACTGCAGAAGGTTTGTTCAGAAGGCTAGTTGGCTTTCTCAGATCTATGTCAAACAGACACTGATGCTTGCATGTAAACGTTGCAGTTGCAAACTTGCAATCAATAAAACACAATGGTCTTACCCCCCCTGTAAAAAGTACAGGGCGTCCTTCACCTGCAGCCTTGATTGCATCAAATTTGTTCTCATGTTTAGCCCTCAATCGATGAGCAGACCACCAAGATGAAGCACACTTTATAGAATTAAGAAACCACAAATAACACAAAAATCAAATCATATACGCATGTGAGTGGAATATTGCAACTGAGATAAAGAGTCCTAATGTTATTGTTTGGATTTGGCCACGGTAAAACCTGTTCAACCACATATTGATTTTTTTTCTTCCCTTTTAAAGGTAACGTATGCAGCAAAATGTTGCTCATCAAGCAAATGGAATAGAATAAACAGCATAATCTACCTGACAGTAAATTGACTCGTGGATAAGAGCATAGAGTGGGTTTGAATCGAAACCCAACCAATTGTCAAACTGTTCAAACAAAATGAATCAAGATTAATTCTGAGAATGTGACTTGAACTTCCGAAATATAAATAAGAAACTAAAAGTTCCTTACAGCATTCAAGAAGCAGAAACTAATCTTCTTAGGTGCTCCTGGGATTATTACAGGATCCCAGACCCTCTCAAATCTACAGTTGTTTTTAAGAGATTACAAAAAGTTGCAGATGCAGTGACATAACACTGAAATCTGAGCTTTTAGAAGAAAAAGAAAAAATGGTGCATAATTATAATGCTTACAGATAATGGAGACGTTCAAAACCTGCACTAGATCCTAAACCGGAAAGACCAAGAAGTTGCAGCCCCCTTGCGGTCAAGATGCCCCCAGATGGAAGAGGAACCTGCACAAAAAGGAGTTTACATTAAAAAGATTTAGCTAAAATATCAGCTTTGAGTAAGGAACCAGGATCAAATGCAGACAAGCCTCACCCCCACCCCCTTCAGATTCTGCCAAATAGTTTACAACTTCACGAACAACTTCAATATCCTGAGGATACCTCTTGTGGTACTTTTCATTCTGACGAGCAACCTGCTCAAAGGAAGCTCCATAAACAGTATCTGCAGTGCATCCATCTCCAATTGGAGGTATTCCTCCAGTCAGAAGCACTTGTTTCAATCCTTGTGGTGCAAAACTCAAATAGGTAACAGCACAAAAACCTCCATAGCTCTGCCAGAAAGAGTGAGAAAGAAGTAAAAACACAAAAAGTCATAAACTCACAGCATGCATACTGATTAATTCATCATCACTAGACGTTACTCATAGTCATATGAAATGGTGAAATGCACAAACAAAAATGTCAAAATTGCATGGTAAATTTAATACCTGGCCCAAAACTGTCCAAGGTCCAGAACCAGGAACAAGATGAACACAGATAAACTCAGCATCATTGATTATACTGTCAGCACGAAAATGTTTCAAGTAATCAGTGAAATCCCGAGCAGACTTAAATTGCAGCATAGATGATGTTGTCAGCGGAGTTGATAATCCTGTTCCTCTCTGCAAGAAAAAACACACCACCAACCCTCAATAACAACAAGCACAAGTACCCCATTTCATCAAAAAAGCTTCAAGGAAACCATGCCTGATCCATTAATATAACACGAAACTCCTCACAAGCTTTAGGTACCCATCCACTGCCTTCAGTTGGTCTTGGGGATTCAAAACCCGGTCCACCTTGCAGAAACAGGAGGTATGGCATTGGTTGGTCTTCTTTACCAACTGCAAAACAATTCTGCATTAATCAGCACATATACTACCACTCTACTAATTTCATATGCTGAAAATTCTCAATTCAGATTCCTCTTTAGTAGACTCATATGGTTTTTTTTTTTTTTTTTTTTT